ATGGAATGCTCCCCAGCTCATTTTATGAAGCTGGCATCATACTGATAGCCAAACCTGACAAAGACCCAACAAGGAAAGATAATTGCCAGCCAATCTCCTTGATGAACACAGATGCAAAAATCCTCAAAAAGATTCTTGCAAATTGGATCCAACAATACATCTCAAGAATCATCCGTCATGCCTAGGTGGGCTTCATTCCTGGGATGCAGGGCTGGTTCAACATTCACAAGACCATAAACCTAATTCGCATATTATCAGATGTAAAACCAAGAACCACATGATCATATCATTAGATGCAGAAAAAGCATTTGGCAAAATCTAGCATCCCTTCTTGATAAAATCCCTTGAGCATCTAGGCATAGAAGGAATATACCTTAAAACAGTAAGAGCCATCTATGATAAACCCACAGCCACCAACTGCATACCCCATTATAGATCCAGCAGAAACCATGCAATTCAGCCCCTCTCCCATCAACCATGATCCTGTAGGTAGTCCCATCAGTCTGGGACCCAACAGAAGAAGATCTTTACCTGTTGAAAGCAGTGTGTAAATATTTGTGTTTGTATTCCTTCAAGTGTATAGATACCAGTGCCAGGCCACACAGATAACCAAGAATCAGGCAGACATACCACCACCAAAGGAAACTAATAAAGCTCCAGTTACTGACTTTAAAGAATTGAAGGTCTATGAAATGCCTGAAAATGAATTCAAAATAGTCATCTTAAAGAAGCTTGATGAAACGCAAGAATGCGCAGATAGATAACTAAATGGAATTAGAAAAACAATGCATGAACCAAATGGGAAGTTTCATAAAGAAAGAGAAACCACTCAAAAGAACCAAATAGAGATCCTGGCGCTGAAGAATATAGGCATACCTCAGAGATACTGTGGGTTTGGTTCCAGGTAACCACAATAAAGCAAATATCACAGTTACGTGAATATCACAATAAAGAAAGTCATATGAATTTTTTTTATTTTCCAATGCTTATATAAAAGTTATTTTTATACTATATAGTCTGTTAAATGTGTAATAATAATAGTATTCTGTCTAAAGAATCAATGCACATATCTTAAAAAAATTACTATATTGCTTAAAAATTGCTAATGGTCATCTGAGCCTTCAGTGAGCCATAGTGTTTTTGTTAGTGGAGAGTCTTACCTTGATATTAATGACTGCTGCTGAATCAGACTGGTGGTTACTGAAGTGAAGGTTGGGGTGGTTGTGGCAATTTCCTTTACTTTTCTTTTACTTTTTTTTTTTTAGTTGAAATTTCACTCTATTGCCCAGACTAGAGTGCAGTGGCATGAACACAGCTCGGTGCAACCTCCACCCTTTGGGCTCAGGAGATCCTTCTGCTTCAGCCTCCCAAGTGCTGGGACTAAAGGAACACACCACCACATCCAACCAATTTGTTGATTTTTTTTTTTTTAGTAGAAATAAGGCCTCACTGTGTTGCCTAGGCTAGTCTTGAACTCCTGGACTCAAGCAATCCTCCTATTGCATCCTCCCAAAGTGCTGGGATTGCAGGCATGAGCCACTGCTGTGTTCAGCCTGTTTTTTGCTTGCTTGTTTGTTTGTTTTTTATTTGAGTTGGAGTCTCACTCTGCCCAGGCTGGAGTGCAGCGGCACACTCACAGCCACCCCAGCATCAACCTGCTGGGCTCAGGCGATCCTTCTGCCTCAGCCTTCCAAGTAACTGGAACTACAGGGATGCGCTACCACACCCAGCTAATTTTTTGATTTATTGTAGATATGAGGTCTTGCCAAGTTGTCCAGGCTGTTCTTGAGCCCATGGGCTAAAGCATTCCCCTCACCTTGGCCTCCCAAAGTGCTGGGATTACAGGCTTGAGCCACCATGCCTGGCCAGCCTGTTTTGTTTTTTTTTTTTACACAGGGTCTTGCTATAATGTTTAGTCTGGTCGTGGACTCCTGGGGTCAAAATCCTCCCACCTCAGTCTCTCAAGTAGTTGGGATTATGGGCATGTACCACTATACTCAGCAGACAACTTCTTAAAATAAGACAATAATGAAGTTTGCCACATTGATTGACTCTTTTCATGAAATATTTCTCTATAGCATGTGATGCTCATTGACAGTATTTTACCCACAGTAGAACTTCTTTCTTTCTTTCTTTCTTTCTTTCTTTTTTTTGAGTTGACATCTCAGTCCATTGCCCAGGCTGGAGTGCAGTGGCATGCTCCTGGCCACTGCAGCCTCAACCTGCTGGGCTCTGGCAATCCTTCCGCCTCAGCCTTCCAAGTAGCCAGAACTACAGGCATGTGCTACCACATCCAGCTAATTTTTGATCTATTGTAGAGATGAGGTCTCATCAAGTTGTCCAGATGGTCCTCGAACCCGCGGGCTCAGGCAATCCATTTACCTCAGCCTCCCAAAGTGCTGGGATTACAGGCTGAGCCACTGAGCCCAGCCAGAATATCTTTCAAAATTGGATTCAGTCCTCTCAAACCCTGGTGCTGCTTTATCAACTAAGTTTATATAATATTCTAAGTCCTTCATTGTTATTTCAACAATATTCACAGCATCTTCACAAAATTCTATCTCAAGAAACCACTTTCTTTGCTCATCCATAAGATCCAACTCCTCATCCATTCAAGTTTTATCATTCACATCTTTGGTTTTCATTCATATCTTTGGTCTCCACTTCTAATTCTAGATCTCCTGCTTTCCACTACATCTACAGTTACTTTCTCCACTGAAGCCCAGAACCTCTCAAAGTCATCCATGAGGATTGGAATTAACTTCTTCCAAACTCCTGTTAGTGATATTTTGACAGCCTCCCATGAATCACATATATTCTCAATAGCATGTAGAATGGTAAATCATTTCCAGAAGGTTTTCAGTAGTCTTTTCCCAGATCCATCAGTGGAATCACTATGTGTGGTGGCTATAGTCTTATGAAATGTATTTTTAAATAAGAAATTGAAAGTTGAAATTGCTCCTTGATTCATGGGATGCAGAATGGATGTTGTATTACTAGGCATAAAAACAATATCAGTTTCCTGCACATCTTTATCAGAGCTTTTGGAAGACCAGGTGCATTGTCCATGAGCAGCAATATTTTGAAGAATCTTTTTCTCTGAGCCAAAGGTGTCAACAGTGGGCTTAAAATATTCAGTAAACCATGCAGTGTTCACAGTATGTTTACCTGGAGTAGATTCCATCCAAGGAAATCACCTTTTTTGTCCATCCATAAGAAGGCTTGCTCAATGTAAGGTTGCCACAAAGCTTTAATTTGTAGGAAGCACAATATCTGTGAAGCACAGTAAACAAAATGCAATAAAACAAGGTATGTCTTTACAGTAACAGAGCTGAAAAGTTCAGTTGGGAGTTTCAACAGCATACTTGATCATGTAAAAGAGAGAATGAGCTTACAAATACAGGCCATTTGAAATTATCCAGTTAGAAGATCAAAAAGAAAAAAGGTTGAAAAAGGGTGAAAAAATAGAGTTAGGGATATGAATTATGAATTAGGAAGATCCAGAGGATAAGAATACACGAATTAGGAAGATCCAGAGAGAGAGAGAGAGAGAGAGAGAGAGAGAGAGAGGCAGGCTGGAAAGCTTATTTTTCAAAAGATTGGCTGAAAGTTTTCTATATAATGGGAGGGATATAGGCATCCAGTTTCATGATGCTTAAGAGACCTCAAGAAACAGCAACCCAAAGAAAATTACTGAGATACATTATAATCAGATTTTCAAAAGTCAAAGCCAAGAAGAATCTTGAAAGCAGCCAGTGAAAAGAGACTCATCATTTACAAAGGAACCCTTGTGATGCTATTAGTGGGCTTCTTAATAGAAACCTTGCAAGCCAGGAGGGAGTGGGATGATATAATCAAAGCTCTGAAAGGAAAAACAAAACAAAACAAAAAACAAACCTGCCAACTTAGAATACAAAGCAAAGAATACCAGTAAAGCTGTCTTTCACAAATGGAGAGAGAGACATTTCCAGGCAACAAAAACTGAGAGAATTCTTCTCTACGAGACATGCCTTACAGGAAGTGCTAATGGAAACTCTTCAAGTTAAATGAAAGAACACTAAACAACTACATGACATTTTGAAGTATAAAGCTCACTGTAAAGGTAAATACATAGTTAAGTTCAGAATACAGTAATACTGCAGTGGTAGTGTGTAAATAACTTTTATCAGAGATTTTGAGTGTAGTTGAAGTTAAGTGGTTATACATTTAGAATGTTATAACTACAAAATGTTTTGTGTAAGCCTATGGTAGCCACAAAGAACAAAACCTGTAGTAGATACACAAAAGATAAGTAGCAGGGAATGGGTATTGCGCTGAATCTGTAGATTGCCTTTGAGTTCTAAGAAACAAGATATATGTTAATTATGAAAGATATGATATTTGTTTCCTTTCCCTTTCCCTTTTTCTTCCCCTCTCCCTCCTTCCCTCCCTCCCTCCCTCTCTTTCCCCACCTTCTTACCTTCCCCCCCTTCTTTCCTTCCCAGGCTCAGTAGAATGGTGTGATCATAACTCACTTGATCTTGCTATGTGGCCACACTTGTCTCAAACTCCTGGCCTCAAGATATTCTTCCACCTGAGCCACTGAAAAGATACTTTATGTGGACCACTTAAAGTGCTGGGATTGCAAGTGTGAGCCACTGTGCCTGACTAGTATTTCTTTATTTTAGTGACTATCTGCTTGATGAAACATTGTCAAAATTATCTCAGTTGAGAAATCAAGAAATCTAGTGTTTGACTCATAATTAAATTTAAATTTGTGTTTTAACTCAGTAAGTCATGCAAACTTTCTCTGCCACTGCCACTTTGGAGTGCTTGAATCTCAAGTCTACCATCATTCAAACTCTCTGAAACTAAGTTTCCTCATTTGCAAAATGGAGATAATATAATCTTCCTTGCTTGGTTCTTGTGAATATTAAATGAGCATATGTTTATCTTGCATTTGAAATAAAGCAGCATACAAGTATAGTATTTGGAAGAATTATATATCTACTTTTTTTTCTTTTTCAGTTTCCTTCAAATGCAGCAGAAGTATGTTGTATTATTAGAGCATCACCAGGAACTAGACAAGTGAAAAACAAAGGTGTTATTGTAAAGAAGAAGAAATATTCCCCTCCTAAAGATATCCCTCAAGGTACTATAGTATGGATGCAGAGCATACTTTTTAGGTTATATTAAAAAAATTTTCATTACAGATTCTTTACGTAAACAGGAAATTCAATTATCAATTTTATTCTGAGAGCTCTTGCACAAAGTCAAAATGGTAAAATTATAAATGTCTGGTCAGGGCTGAGCACAGTAGTGTACGCCTGTAATTCCTGCATTTGAGACCGAGGTGGGAGGATTGCTTGAGGCCAGGAATTCAAGACTAGCCTGGGGAACCATAGCAAGACCCCATCTCTACAAAAGTAAAAACAAATTAGCAGGGGATGGTGGCACATACCTGTAGTCCTAGCTACTCAGGAAACTGAGACAGGAGGATTACTTGAGCCCAGGAGGTTTTTAAAATGACAAATAACTTATGTTTTGAAAAATTAGCTTTATGACATTGATTTAAAATGTTATTTATCTAGGATACTTCCTTTGATAACCATTTGAAATGTAGGATTGTTTGGGTTTTATTTTTAATAGCATTCTTTTTAAACATATGGTGATGTTTTTAGGCTGAACAAAGTGGCTCACGCCATAATCCCAGTGCTTCAGAAGGCCAAGGTGAAGGCCCAGGAATTTGCAAGCAGCCTGGGCAACATAGTGAAACTTCGGTTTCTATAAAAATTTAAAAAATAAAATTAGCCAGGCATGGTGTTGCATCCCTGTAGACCCAGCTACTTGGGATGCTAAGGTGAAAGGATCACTTGAGACTGTGGTGAGCTGTGATTATACCACTGTACTCCAGCCTGGGCTACTACCCCAACAGTGTGACCCTGCCTCAAAAAAAAAAAAAAAAAAAAGATGTGGTCGTGCTTTTGCATTTACCTAACATTGGTTGAGCACTTCCTCTGTGAAAGGCACTGTGCTAAGAACCTTGTTACATCTCATTTAGTTCTCACTGACTTTATAATAGATAGGATGTATACTATTATCCCCATTTTACATATTAAGACTGTGAGGCTTAAAATGTTATTCAATTTGTCAAGATCATACTGGTGAAGTATGATCTTCTACCAAGTAGGATAAAGGAATTCAAGCTTTCTAGACTCCAGGTTAGATTTTTTAATATTCTCCTCACTGTACATTGGGCAGAATGACTAATTACTCAATGGAACAGCAGCCAATGAAGGAATTGAAATTGAATAGATATGTATGACTCCTATTCAACTAAGTAGTTCACTCTTGATCCTTTCCCTCATTACCTCCACAGTTCTTTCCTTGAGCATTCTCTAAGTCCACAGAGATCTCTTTTTAAAAATAAATTCCTTGAATACTTAATTCAGTACTATTCATTGACATTTAAAAATTATATGAGTCAGGGTTCTCCAGAAAAACAAAACCAATAGGAGAGAGAGATGAGAGAATATTTTTAATGACAATTGGCTCATGTAGTTATAGAGGATAAAAAGTTCCATGACATGCCATCTGCAAGCTAGAGAACCGAAACCAGTGGCATAACTAAGTCTGAGTCCAAGGGCCTGAGAACCTGGGAAGTTGTTGGTACAAGTCCCAGAGTCCGAAGGCCAGAGATTCTAGACTTCTGATATCCAATGGCAGGAGAAAATGGGTGTCTCAGCTCCAGAAGAGAGAGCAAATTTGTTTTTTCTCTGCCTTTTTGCTTTATTCAGACCCTCAACCGGTTGGGTGGTATCTGACCATTTTGAGTGAGGGCAGATCTTCCTTCCTCAGTCTACTGATTCAAATGCCAGTCTCTTCTAGAAACACCCTCATAGACACAGATATACTCAGAAATAATGCTTCTTCAGCTTTCTGGGTATTCTTTAACCCAGTCAAATTGGCATCTAAAATTAACAATCCAAATAATATACTGCTATTTGACCTAATTTGCCAAGCTGATTTGTCATATTCCTTAGGGTATGATGTTTTCAAGGACAAAGCATGTAATTGACCTCTTTCTATCTCTATTTCTGATATCATCAGCATAGTGGTAGGGAATGGTAGATAGCTGTATTACTTGGGATCCTAGTAAAGAAACAGAGCCAGTAGGATATATGCATGTGTGTATTTATATAGGTTTATATGTATGTATATATTTTTTACATGGTAGGATGTTTATATATATAAATGAAATATATTAAAGAGATGTTGAAAGATGTGGAGGATAAAATGAGGCCTGACGTATGCTAATTACCATTCTGAAGAGAATAAACAAGAAGTTGACTTTACAAAATTGTGTGGAGTCTAGCTGGGAAAGTCTGAAAACTGTAGAACAGGTTGGAAACTTCTGGGCAGAAGCTGATGCAGTTTACAAGCAGATTTCTTCAGAGAAATTTCAGTATTGCTTTTAAGTCCTTTCAACTGACTAAATGTGGCCTTTTATATTATCAAGGATAATATCCTGTATTATAAGTCAACTATTATAGATGTTAACCATATCTACAAAATACCTTCACAGCAACACTTAAACTAGTATTTGATTGAATGAATGATTGTGTAATATTGTCCAGACAAGTTGACATATACAACACCATCATAATACACCCCTTATCAACTTTGCATTCATTTACATCTCCTTAAACCTTATTTAATCTCCAAGTAAAGACAATAACAAAGCCATACTTCTGCCTAGCTTGATATGACTGTCCTCATAAAACTGAAAATGTGCTAACCCCTTCCCCAGAAGAGGATGCAAAGTCCTTAGGCAATGTTTATTCTTCTCTTTTCTATCCTGTAACTATAAAACAGTTATATAAGCTAATTGTTATTAATAGATCTTGTGTTATGTGATAAGGGGATGAGAGAGAGAGGAAAACAAAGATATTTGCTTGACTGTGGTCATGGCTAGTATTTGTAATTACCTTCTTCCATGATCCATTCCATATTCCCTCTGCCTTCAGCAAGACTTCATATGGTCATTATTCTTTGCCTGGTAGATGACACAAACCTTTATTTCTGATGGATCCTGGTCATTAGTAGTCCTGCCTGGATTGAGTTATTATTGTTTTCCACTAACCTTAATCACTGGTCATGATAAAATTAACACATAACCTTAAGTTATTTCCTGTGTACCAGACATATTCTTCCTTACCACCATTTTGGAGTAGTAGTTCAGTTTTCCCTTGGTAGTCCAGATTAGTCATCCCAACCAACACCATAACTGCTTTTTTGGCTTGTTGACACTGAGGCATGGGTAGCAGTCTTAACTTCTAGTTCTGTGGAATCTTTTTTGTGTCTCCTGATATAAGAATTCTTCTGTTTGGAACTAAGACCTCTAAGCCAGCAGAGCATAGTCATGAGAACAGGAAGCAAAAATTATGAGTGGTGGTACTTTGATTTTCCACCCTTTGATCCCTGCTATGGGAAAAATAGTTTCATTTTATTGGATGTTGTTTCAGAGCATATACAACCTTCTTGCCCCAGCTTGCAAGTTATTACCATCTAGCAAGTGTTGTAACTGAGTCTTCGTAAGGTCATGCTTCCGTTCTGTCAGGCCAACTGCTTTAGCATGATGGGGAACATACTAAGACCAGTGAATTCCATGAGTAGGGGTCTATTGCTGCACTTCTGTTTCTGTGAAGTGAGACCCTTGATTAACAGCAATCATGACAGTAAGGCATTTCATAAGTCCACGGGTGGTAATTTAGGCAGCAGTATTATATGCAGTATAGGAAAATTCGTACCAAGTGTCATACCAGTAAGAAAAAAAAGCTACACCTTCCATGATGGAAGTGGTCTAATGTAATCAACCTGCCACCAACTAGCTGACTGATCACCTTGGAAAATGGTGCCATATTGGGGCCTTGGTGTTGGCCTCTGCTTTTGGCGGATTGGGTACTCATTGGTGGCCGTAGCCAGGTTGGCCTTGGTGAGTGGAAGTCCACAATGCCAAGTTTATGTACAACCTCCATTTTTGCCACCATGACCATTTTGTTCATGAGCCATGAACACAGAGGGTACCAGTTAGACTCTTTCCTGAGCCCTATTCTGACAGAGGCGGCTGGGGAAAGACTGACTGATATCTACAGACTTGGTTATCCTATCCACTTGATTATTAAAATCCTCCTCTGCTGAGATCACCTTTTGGTGAGAACTTACATGGGACACATCTTCACTTCTTTTTTCCCATTCAGAGAGGTTTCTACAATGCCTCTTCCCAAATTTTCTTGTCAACAATTTTTCAGTCATATTCCTTCAAAGTCCCTGACCATCAAGCGAAACCATTGGCTACCATTCATGAATCGATATGTTGAACATCTGGCAATTTCTCCTTTCAACAAAGCAAACGACCAGGTATATTGTTTGACGTTCTGCCTGCTGGCAGGATTTCTCTTCACCAATTTTCTTTAGGAATGTCCCAGAAAGGAGATGTAGGTGCTGTAACTGTCTACTTTCAGGTAGTGCCTGAATATCATGGAGAACCATTTGTAAGCAAACCTGAACTTTCTCTTCCTCGGCCATTTGATTGTAGAGCACTTTCCATGTCATCTTAAGAGCAAACAAGGAGAGGCCAGGCATAGTGCTCATGCCTATAATCCCAGCACTTTGGGAGTCCAAGGCCGGTGGATTACTTGAGCCCAGGAGTTCGAGACCAACCTAGGCAACATAGTGAGACCTTGTCTCTACAAAAAAAAAAAATTAAAAATTAGCCAGGGCAACCACTTGGGTCCCTCCCACTCTGGGAGCTTTTCTGTCCTCTCAGTAAATCCTGCTTTATTAAAAAAAATAGCCAAGTGTGGTGGCACTAGCCTATAGTCCCAGCTACTCAGGAGGCTGAGGCAAAATGATTGCCCAGGAGCTCAAGGCTGTGGTGAGCCATGATTGTGCTCCAACCTGGTTGACAGAGTAAGACCCTGACTCAAAAAAAGAAAAAAAAAATCCCAAGTAGAGAGAGAAAAGGTAATATAGCAGGGGGAGTGGGGCATGAGCACTTGGGCCACTTCCTTGTGTAACTTACTTGTGCTTTCAGGGCACCATCTTATATACACCACTTCCATTTGATAATAAAGTACTGCTCTTCACACC